ATTCAGGAATTAACATATAATTAACACCAGCCTTTCTTTCACTTTTTCTACTATATGTCCATAGTGGCAAGTACAGGAAGGTTATAGTTTTTAAGAAGTGCACTAAATTTGACATTTGACACCAATTCAATTCAATTAAGTTCAATTCAAGTTTATGTGTATAGCGCTTTTCACGATACAAATCAGCTTTACAGAAAATTAAGTTTCTACAATATATTTAGTAGTACATTTAGCTTGTCAGTGGTGACTATGTCAAATTGATGTGCATATGGCAGAAATATACGATAAAATTCAGTTAATGACGTAATCAAACAGACGATGATCAGTATTAACAGCAATGATTATATGTTGCAATCAAACTTGTAGCAAAATTCTCTTCTCAGGTGTTCGGTCATCTCAGGTCTTTGTAATGGCTGGATCCAGACTGAAGCTTGTGTAATTCCTAGTTACCACGGGATGTCAATCCTGTGGCAGAAACAGAGAAACACATAGAGACATAATTAGCATAGCTGTTCTCTTCTCAGGTGTTCGGTCATCTCAGGTCTTTGTAATGGCTGGATCCAGACTGAAGCTTGTGTAATTCCTAGTTACCACGGGATGTCAATCCTGTGGCAGAAACAGAGAAACACATAGAGACATAATTAGCATAGCTGTTGTTCCAACCAAGCAAAAATGATTTGTTCAACCCAAGCTAAGGAATAATAATGTGCATTTGATCAGATATAACTGCAGTACAAGATTATGAGATGCATTATTTGAATGCTTGGCCAAAGAGATGTGTCTTTAATCTAGATTTAAATAAACCGGGTGTGTGTTCACGGTGTGTGTGTGTTCACTGCTGTGTGTGTGAACTTTGGATGGGTTCACCATACTTGGCCACATGTCACTTCACTTCATATTTTCTTGACCTGCTAAAGACTCTAGCCGCTGCATTTTGGACTACCTGTAGCTTGTTACTACCTAGCAGTGCAGTACAATAGTCCAGTCTAAAGGTCATGAATGCATGAACTAGCTTTTCTGCATCTGAAACAGGTAACATGTTTCGTAGCTTGGCAATGTTTCTAAGATGGAAGAATGCTGTTTTTGTAACATGGGAAATATGATTTTCAAAAGACAAGTTGCAATCTAATATAACACCCAGATTTTTGACTGTAGAGGAAGTAACAGTAACTCTGTCTAGTTGCAAATTGTAATCCAAGAGATTCTGTGTACTGTTTTTTGGTCCAATAAGTAATATCTCGGTCTTATCCGAGTTTAATAGGAGAAAATTATTGGTCATCCAATCTTTTACATTTTTAACACACTCTGTTAGCTTAGATAATTTAGAAGTTTCATCTGGTCTTGTTGAGATATATAGTTGAGTATCATCAGCACAACAGTGGAAACTAATCCCGTATTTTCTAATAATATTACCAAGGGGCAACATGTATAATGAAAATAGCAGAGGACCTAGGACAGATCCTTGTGGCACTCCATATTTTACTGGTGATAACTGAGATGACTCCCCATTTAAATGAACAAAATGGTAGCGATCGGACAGGTAGGATCTAAACCATCTTAAAGCCTGCCCTTGAATACCTGTATAGTTTTGTAATCGATCTATGAGTATGTCATGATCTATAGTGTCGAACGCAGCACTAAGATCAAGTAAAACTAGCAATGAGATACAGCCTTGGTCTGACGCAAGAAGCAAGTCATTTGTAATTTTAACAAGTGCAGTTTCTGTGCTATGGTGGGGCCTGAAACCTGACTGAAATTCTTCATAGAGATAATTTTTTTGCAGGAAGGAGCGCAATTGAGCAGACACAACTTTTTCTAAAATTTTAGACATAAAAGGAAGATTTGATATAGTTATTATCAGTAATACGCAGCATGCACGATGCAAGGAAATGGTCAGTAACATCATCACTTTGAGGTATGATATCTATATCAGTAAGATCAATTCCATGCGATATAATTAAATCTAGCGTATGATTAAAACGACGAGTGGGCCCGGTGACGTTTTGCTTGACTCCAAAAGAGTTTATTAGGTCAGTAAACGCAAGTCCTAATGCATCATTTGTATTATCAACGTGAATGTTAAAATCTCTGACAATTAGTGCTTTTTTAACATTTACCAATAGGTCTGAGAGGAAATCTGCAAATTCTATTAGGAAATCTGTATATGGCCCTATAATGACACCAAAGAACACGTCTGAGGTAGAAGGAAGATAGTTGATCTTCTTGTTTTAAATACATTACCTCAAAAGCAAAAAAGAGGCTGAGAAGTGGAAGAGGGTCGTGGCAGACAGGATTTCATGCTGCTAACCAGCAGTCTAGATACATTTGCTTTCGACACACACATGTGAACCTCATGGTGGTGGGGCTTGGTGGAGTTTCCTCAGACAGTGTGTGAGTAAGGGGGCCGAGACCACGAACAAAGTGGTTTTAAACAGACAGTGGTCATAAAGAAGCCCAAAAGTGCTTCACACTGGTGTAATAAAAGTGTAAGGTTACTCTTTTTGGCAGATTAGGACAGACAGCCAGGAGAGTCACGAGTTGCCAGCTTCTCCCCCAGACATAAACACCTTTCTCTGGGCACAGGAGCTGGTGGCCTGGCCTCTAGTCAAAGAAGTCTTTGCAGACCAAAATTTCATTCACGTTTGCCGAGAGAGTCTGTTTTGTCTAAAACATGTGTGTTTGTAATTTTTGGAGAGTGTTAGGAGCGTGCAGATGGACTGACTTAAATGGACTGAAGTCTGAAATTCAATGAAATTTTAAGAAAGCCACAAGGTTTTTCTTTCTTCACCGTTGTAATATAACAGTTCATTTATTTTTGTTCAAAATAAATACTACAATAAATTATGAAAAAACTATTTTATTTAAAAATGAAAAATGACGATACATAAAATTAAACAGTGTAATAAATAAATATATTTACATAAAAACACATTCTAAAAACAATTTACTTAAAAATGTGACCTCCCTCAATCTGCTGCTTTCAAACCATTTGTTTGCTTCTTTATAGTTTTAGTTTAGAGTTTAGTTGTACCCAGATGATGTCTGACCTGTCTGGCACAAACAAATGAATATAAAGAATTAAATGGCCTCTTTTACAGTCTCTTAAATGGACATAGACAAGTGGTCCCTACTGAGGAACCTCTGAAAGACAGTTTATTCATTTTGGATAGATAATGCGTCTGCTGTTTTTTTGTGACTCAAACTTTCCAGCTGGATTTGATGAGTCAAATCCAGTCTTGGTCTTGCTCTTTTCTTTTCAGATGAACTCTTCTTGTCATGGAGATCTTTCGCTGTCACAATCCTTATCTTGCCATGAGTCATTAAACGCATTTTTCAGTACCTGTTTTCAGTGATGTTGATGTCAATCGGGCATCATGCAATCCCTACAAATAAGTTGTCCAAGGCATACTTGGCCTGCTGGGAGGTCGTAAAACTGTCCTCACATTCAGGGTGCTGCTAACAGACACAGTTTCTTGCATTACATGGTGCGTGGCCGGGATTTGTGTAATGGCAGGCCAGGACCACAGGTCCGCATCCAGGGTTTTTGAGGAGTAGTCCAGATAGTCCGTGCTTTTTTCTTCATCTGAGGTTGTGAAGTCTGCCGTTGAAAAAAGGAGTGTGATTAACATGATGGACAATCTCTGGAAAATTAAAGGCATAATTCACCCCAAACTGACAATTCTGTCATCGGCTAATCACACTCATGTTGTTCCAAACCTGTATGACTTTCTTTCTTCTGTGAAGAAAAAAAAAATACTGTTAGCTTAGTGCAACAGTGAATGAGGACTGAGGCTTTTAAGCTTCTAATAGACTCAAAAGCAATATTCAAGTATCATAAAAATGGTCCATACGTCTCAAACACTATATTCCAAGTCTTCTGAAGATATACGAAAAAGTGTAAATAAAGTGAAGTAGGTAACATATTTTTGTATATATGCATTATATGTAGAATAATGTTTTTACAAAAATGCTGGAGAGAGTGACGTCAGATTACGACCGTTGCATTGTCCGTACAAATTTTGCGTATGCGAAGTCTAGTGTGACCACGACTTAACCCTAAACCATACCCCTTCAATAATATTCCAAATTAAAACTGGGGAAAACAATCAGAATGAGTTCTGGTGAATTGATAACTGCTACAAATGAATCATTGAAAACCAAGTCCAATTCCTGGCTAAATGATTCAGTCTTGTGAACTGAATCAACTGATTCACTGAAAAAGTCTGGCTCAAAAGAATGTTTATTTGCAAATTTGACATTGCCACTTCTTTTATGAGCTCTTGAGAACACGCCAAGGAGAACTAGGATGGATATGAAGAATTGAATAAGTAAGGGATAATGTACATCCAGCCGGTTGTTATCTCAGAATAAACCCCGACAGGGTGATCAGGACCCCAACGTGAAGCGGAGGCACCAACACAAGATGTTGTGTTTTCAGTCACAAGATGGCGCCAGACAGTCAACGATAGCGGAGTGACTCGTTAAGCATATACTGTAAGTAGTACCGGTCAAGATAACGCGTAGTACCTGGATGAGCGGTGTGTTATTTAATTTGGCGGTTGTTATCTGGGAATAACATACCGCTGGATGGCGCAATTGACCAATCAGAATCAAGTATTCCACAGAGCCGTGTAATAACGACTTTTATGATCTGTTTCTTGCATAATGCGACTCCAAAAGACTTGGAATATAGCAGGAGTTGCATGGACTACTTTATATGGTGGTTTAATGTAATTTTTCAAGCTTGGCAGATCCAGTCCTCATTTGCTTAAATCGCATGAAAAAGAGCAATCAACACCACACTAAAAATTTAACATTTTTTTTGTTCCACAGAAGAAAGCAAGCCATACAGGTTTGGAACATCATGACTGAGATTAACTGATGACAGAAATCTTATTTGTTGGGTGAACCATCCCTTTAAATGCTCACTATGGACTGTTTGCCATCTTAAAGTGGCTTTCAGGGTCACCTCTACAGCTTCGCTCAGATAAAAAGATGCATCATACACAGCAGCAGAGGGTGTAGCATTTGAGTTTGGCTGCATTGCGTCCCGTCCCGGCGTAGCGGTTCTTCTTGGGCAGCAGCAGAATGAAGGACACAGCCAGTGACACATGGTAGAAACTGTGGACATAAGCGTAGTCCCACTCCTGCAGGAGCAAATGAGCAAGTCATTACCGCAGTTACGCGAACATGCTTTTGTGTAATGTGTTCCTCCAGTTGCAGTAGCTGTTTAAGAGCTGCACATTCATATTTTTACCTCAAAATAGAAGCGAAGCATCAAAGCAAGAGCGCCGAAGCAGAACCCTGGCCCCACTTGTTGAGTGTAAACACTTTTGTCTGGATAAAGGCCTTTCTTTTCCTTCATTTTTTGTAACTGGAGCAAAGCAAAAACAATATTGTAAAACCTTGTGAAAGCATTTGTGGTAGATAATAAAATCTTGAGTTTCCATGTTGTCAATATGAGCAAAATACAGTTCCTCATCAAGTTTATTTGGAGCTCTGCTCTTAAAAAGCACTGTAAGAACGGCATCTGATGTCTCTCAAACTTACCCATTTGACTGTTAACATGAAGACAGCTGTTCCAATGGGGCCGGAGTAGATGCCGTAGCCTAAGCGGTCCTGGTAGATTCGCACAGCCGATGTCAACACCCCAAACATGGTGAGCGAAGAGCGCTTGGGTTCATCGAAATCTCCCAGCGCTGGATGAGAGCAAATGGACACATATTCTTTACATGACACAGCGGAATGCAAGATATAAACACTTGTCACACTGCTCATGAAAAAAAAAAAAAAAGTACTGTTTTAAATCACTTTGTTTGACTGTTTGACCCGTGTGGGAGTGCATATCTATGTCATACCTTCACAGAACATTATTGAGATTTGTAGGATACAGAGATGCTATTATTAGCTCACCTAGTAGCGTGACCCACATGGAGATAGCTGTGCCGTACACGCTGAAGTACTCCAGGATCTCATACTTCATGAAACAGAGAATGGACAAGCCTGGGCCATCACATGCATGGTAAATCTGAGCACAGATGGAGAAAACACATGACTGCTAAGTCACCTTGATAGAAAGGTTCCGGCTTAGAACATAAATGACCATTTAAAAGGCTCTAGGATAGATTAGATGAAACTTTCAGCGTTCTCGTCTGGTAAAATTTACGAAGAAGACCTTTTTTATGGCCATAGTCAGAGATGCCTCCAGTTATGCTATCAGTTGTGGTTCAGATTGAGCAAACTGAAGCAGCTTGAGTTTTGTGAACTTTTCTTGATTGGTTGTTTTGTAATGAATCAAGAATTCAAGGCCAGTTTACACAGAATATGTTTTCATGTTCTAATGCACTTCCTTTTATTTGTTTTCTCCATAAATGTAAATATCTGGATAGGGCTATATAAAATTAATTAAATCTAATATAAAATAATTTATTAAAATATATAAAATAAATAAATAGAATTTTACCTCATTTGCTTTAATTGAAATTTAAATATCATACCTATCGTGTCTATGTAGGTTTTATTTTATTTGCCTTTTTAAAAATTTAAATTTGCATTTAAAATTGCGTTTTTGACCATTGCGCTTTGTCTTGCTGCTTTTTCAACCCAAGACATTGTTCTTTATATACAAGGTATATATATTTCTGTATAGGGTTATATAAAATAAATAATATGTGACATAAAAACATATTAAAAATAATATAAATAAATAGAAGTTTACCTAAATTTTAATCAAAATTAAAATACCTATGTAAACTTTTTAGCATCTCACACATTAGTGCCACATTGTTAAGATGGTGTGTCAAGTTAAAAGAAGTTTAAAAGTGCATATCTAGACTCTGCTTCTTTGTTCTGCTTTTAAATGCAAGACCACGTTCTGTGTGAACGGCCCCTTAAAAACAAGTATATCATTACTAATGATAGATACACAAGCTAATAGAGATACACAAGTCCATAGTACTGTATATTTCTCCACACATCTTTCAAATAAATACAGAAAATGGTGTCTATAAAAGCACCTATTCTCTTACCGCTGTGAAGAACATTGTGAAGAAATAGACCATGGCCTCCATATGGAAACCCCTCTTGGCGGCAACACTGGCTGCAGGCAGGAACACCAAACTGCTGATGGTGGGCAGCAACATCTTGGCGATAAACGCTCCCATTCTGACTCAAATAAAAGGCCGTAGGATTTCTGGAAAAGTTGAAAGGGCTTAAGAGATTGTCTGGTTGTTTCAAACCGCCAGATCTTTTGGAGAAGCGACCAAGAGAGACTGAAGGGGCGACTCTCACACACTCCTCTAGAGGATCTTTAAAGTTTAAAGGACTCAGAGGGGTCCGTATGCGCACTGTCATCAGAACAGCAGCTGTCTGCGTGAGGACTGGGAGAGGCCTGCAATCACATGGCACGCTTCTGTCACACATGTTTGGGATTATAGAACAACAGCGGCGGGACAAAAGTGAAGCCATTTATGGTGAACTTCACAATCTATGGAGTCAATGCTGAGTCAAAGTGTTTCCACAGAAAAAAATTCCTAGCGTGCCGTTGGGCGCACAGAGAATTTTTTGAAATGGATTTTTCTTATACTGGTCAGTCTGGACGGCGATGTGTTGAGTCTCAGACATCGAGTTTCTCATGGGAGAATCGATCCTCAGCAGTGGCTGTAGAAACAACTGTCTTTATTGGGTTATTGACATTGGCCTCGCGAAAGCACCTGTATGCGTCATTGCAAATCTGTGTTTGACGTGAATGTGGTTTTGAGGGTAGAAAAATGTGAATGGTTAAGGTGAGGTGTAGGCTTAGGATGTTGTATTAGAGACCGGTGAGTCTTGTGTAGACCCATACCAGATGTACAGATAGACCAGGAGCCTATTAAATGAGTGAAGGGAACCCAAGAACAAATTCTCACTTTGTACTGGTCACATTTCATGTGGTCAAAATATGTCTTTTATATCTGTTAAATCTCTTATTTTATGCCGCTGAACATTTTAGCATCTGAAAAGTCCATATTTACATTCCAAAGTCGGCAATTTAGTCGGCAGAAACTTCTCCACGCATCAGATGATCTGCATCAGCATCTTTAATTCAGAGTAAATGGCAGAAAAGAAATAAAAACAGATTTCAATGACACGTTCAATGTAAATCAATAGGAAACAGATGTGACTTAGTGATCTTTCTCTAATTTAAACTAATGCGCTGAATTGAAATTTAGCGCATTAAATGACATCAAGATGAACTGTGAATGCTTGTGTTCTTGATTTAACCTACATAACGCAAAGGCATGTCCGTTGTCTTATTTCTGTATCCTCTGGCTTTTTTGATGTGGCTTTAACGACTTTCTAAATAAGACTTCACACAGTCCACAGCAGTGAGGAAAGTCCTTATTTTGTTATTTTGAACACGAGGGAGAGTCTTGCTATGGAGTTTGTGGCCGGTCAGTCACAGCTGTTCTTCTCTCAGCTGTTGCACCTGCGAGAGGAACACAAAGGGTGCAGTGTGCTGAGTGTTCCTCACGCCCAACATTTTCTAAGTGACTGTAACGTGATTCTCCAAGACACCAGAGAGATTGCAAACCTCAGATACTTAGAGACAAGTCCACTTTCTTGACCTGTCCTGGAATGGCTAAGGAATGAGGAGTCACATTTGGGGTCACGTGCTGAAAGTGCAACATCACTGCTTTCACTCGTCCATCTCACTGTGGCCACATTCTTGTGTAGCACAGCTACTGAATTTGGCCTTAGTCAAATTAGTTTATAGTCATAAAGTTTGTCAAATGCACTTTTTTTTTGGTGTGCAACCCATTTTTTAGGTTCCAGAATTCTAAATTGTAGGGCTTTCTGTGACATTCTGGCACAACTCATTAGCTGGATTGTTATATTGAAATCTTCTGCACTCTCATCTGAATCCCTAGATGAGAACCTCTGGCATGTGAATTTTTGAATGGAATATACACTGTTGACTTAAAAATCTGTATGTTATCTTTATCAGCTGACTGAAATGAGAGCCTGAGAAAACGATCATTATTCACTATCGGAAAAACAATAAAGCAAGCGTTTCTTTTACTGATGTCTCAACAGTTTCTTCCAGACGTTTACAGTTTTCTGCAGCATTATCCATATTAAACATAGGACCAAAACTAATAAATGTAATAAAAAATTTAAATTATTACTTTATTTATTATTTAATTATTGAAATTAAAATATCATGTCTATCATGCTTTTCCCCTGAAAATGAGAAAAAGCAAATACAGAATTTTTCTTTGCCTCTGTTCAACCCTGTTATACTGTGATATTTACCCCTCATTTAAAATAAAGGTTTGTGTATAAAGTGTATTTGACTTTTGGTTAACATTAACATTAATTGGTTAACATCCTAATGGACAACAACGGTTTCAGAGAAAGTTTCTTTGATGTTGATTAAAGATTATGATTATTACTATTATTTCTTTGGAATAACCATTGGTGAATAATTCAAAAACAGACCAGGAGCCGAGGAGCGTGCATTAAAAATATTCATGACCAAAATATTTTCCTTAATAGCATGAACCAACTGCTAGAAAGTAGTGATCAAAATGCAGGTCTGTTTATTTCCCCATATCTGCCTCGCTTACAATCAGTTTGCATAGCAGAGCTGATTCATTGTTCCAAAATAGACGCTGCAGAATTAGGCTCTAATAACATGCCTGTCGTGTGAGAAGAACATTTGTTTGGTCTATGAATGTAGTAAATGCATTCATGTGTGGTACATTAGACAGCTAGTTAGAGAGCAATAAATGTTTTTTGTCTATACATTTCCAACGTTTTTTTTTTTTTTTATCCACAAAATACACTTGATTTTCTCTGACCTACAAGGAGTGTTTTTCATTCCCTAGTTTAGACTGAAGGAACATTTCTATTTTCTTGTCTGTTTATAACAATCAATATGCATTTTCCCTACACAGCCATTCACCTTAGAAGTATTGAAGGATTTCTCTCCTTCTCGTGTCACACACACAGACCTTCCCTGTGTTTTCTACCTTATAATTTTAGGCTTTTAAAAAGCGACCATTCCTCCAGACTTCCAGACTGTGCAAATCTCCTGAAGTATGTCTATCACCATACAAATCTGTGGTTGAGAGGAGTGTTTGATTGAGCTTTAAGTGTAGCGAAGCGTCCCTAATGTACAGAGCAGACAGACAACGAAGAGAACATGTGGTCTATAAATGTACACGTCACACACAGGCATGGTGGTCTCAACTATCTGCCTGTGCTGCCCAAGTCTTTTTCTCCATCCATCACTCTCTTCCTCACACTCTTGTGAGTGTTTTATTACACTGCAAAGCATCACTTTCTGAATCAGTATTTCTGTTTTATTTGGCAAAATAATCATACATAAATCAAGATACATTTATTTGAGAAGATAAGATAATGTGTCATTTTTTTATTTTCATTTTAAGCAGGAACCACATACAATTTAGTTAGATTCATAATTAAAACAATGAAAAAAATATATTTTAAACAAAAATTCATTCATTTAATATTTATATAAAATAGAATGAACAAAAAATTTAGTTTATTTATTTATCTTTTTTTTTTTTATATATAGTGATATAAATAGTTTATTCATATCATTATATGTACACATTTAATTCATTTTATTGTCAATTATATATTATTTGTTGAGTTCTCTGTTTCTTATTGGTTTGCCTGGTCACCATTTAATTTTATTTTCAGAGCCACTAATCTCCATCTTTGTTGTACTCATTGTTGTCATTAGGATTGTTATCAGTACTCCCATTAAGTGCTCTTACACTGTGGCCTGTGGTACCGATGGGTCTCAGTAGTGGGACATGCAAGGTATTACTGCACAGCGGGAAACACAAGAGAGGATGTTCTGGCTTAGACAAAGTGTGTGTGTGGAGGGTGAATGGACTGATGTGATGAGGAGGGGTACAGTGGGGGCTTCTCTGTGGGAAACGGCAACTTCCTCCCTGTCTGTCTGTGAGCGGAGACCAGTAGACAGCAGCTTGGCTGAGTCTGTGGCACTGTGGCTCCGCTCCACCACACAGCAGCGGCAGCCCATGAGCTTGGCACCAGCCGGGAAAGTGTTTTCACGTAGGCGTTCCCAAACGCTGCCACTCTCTTCCTGCTGGGACTGAAGGAAAGTTTTTTATCTTTTTTTTTTTTATATATAGTGATTTAAATAGTTTATTCATATCATTATATGTACACATTTAATTCATTTTATTGTCAATTATATATTATTTGTTGAGTTCTCTGTTTCTTATTGGTTTGCCTGGTCACCATTTAATTTTATTTTCAGAGCCACTAATCTCCATCTTTGTTGTACTCATTGTTGTCATTAGGATTGTTATCAGTACTCCCATTAAGTGCTCTTACACTGTGGCCTGTGGTACCGATGGGTCTCAGTAGTGGGACATGCAAGGTATTACTGCACAGCGGGAAACACAAGAGAGGATGTTCTGGCTTAGACAAAGTGTGTGTGTGGAGGGTGAATGGACTGATGTGATGAGGAGGGGTACAGTGGGGGCTTCTCTGTGGGAAACGGCAACTTCCTCCCTGTCTGTCTGTGAGCGGAGACCAGTAGACAGCAGCTTGGCTGAGTCTGTGGCACTGTGGCTCCGCTCCACCACACAGCAGCGGCAGCCCATGAGCTTGGCACCAGCCGGGAAAGTGTTTTCACGTAGGCGTTCCCAAACGCTGCCACTCTCTTCCTGCTGGGACTGAAGGAAAGAAAGCGGGAGGGAGGAGGAGAGGAAGGGAGGAAGGGGGAGAGGAGGGATGCAGGAGCACACCTTACCCTCTTTAGAAGGCACATCCTCAGAGCACACCATTAGAAACCACCACCAGCACCACCCACACTGTCCAAGCAGCACTCAGCTCCAACATTGCCCCTGGACTGCAGGTAAGGGCAAATATTTACTGTGGGACTGACTGTGTGTGTGTGTGTGTGTGTGTGTGTGTGTGTGTTAGTGTGTCCATTTTGCTGAATCGTGCCCAATGTTTTGGGAAAGAGTATTGGAAGCCAAGCAGACTAGACACTTGTTCCACAAACCCAAACAAACAGTGTTAACTGCTCTGCTGAAGCAAAGAGCTGGATGAAAGTGAAATAAAGTGACAGTAATGGTCACCTGGGGTGGGGGTTGGGGTTTGGTTCCAGCGGCAG